TTTTTTGGAAACCTTGTTACAAACTCTACCACTTGGTTCATCCCAATTACGATTATTGATTAATTAATTTTTGACCAAAATTTGACTGGTGTCACACGATGACACCCTCATTTGTCCCCTCCTTTTCCCACACCAAATTCTCTCACATATCTCTCTCTGGTCCGACTTTTGGAGTATTTTTGAGATTCTGATGAACTTCGCTTTGGTGAAACTTTGAGGCAGAGGGTCGGGCAAATAGAAGTGCTCGATATCGAAGCCCTGCCTGTAATCTTCTCAGTTTTTGCTAGAAACTCTCTGTAAGTTTTACTACACTTACTACACTTTAAGTGTAACTTATGTTTATATTTATAGTCGTTGTTATGAATGTATAAATAAGATTTATCAGTGATTCCATTCATAATAATGATTAATCTACTTATGGGAAAGGTGTCTAGAGTGATCACGTTAGCTTGGTTGTTGGATTTCAGAAAGGTTATATGTTGAAATGGTTCTGCCTCCCAACTCCTTATTGATAGAACTCTCGATATTTATTGGGATTAGTGAATGATCTATCTTTCATGACCAGATTTCCATAGAGATTAATAAGTTATAGTGTTATAGGTTAATACTTGTTAAGCATGTTACCCGCCAGTTGGATCGTTAGTAGGATAAGCCAAACAGCTATAAATCGTCTGAGTAATTATAAAGGTGAGTTTTCTCAATATATTGTATACTCCAGCTTGTATCATCTGCATGTTAGGATATAGTTGCCTTGTAGAATGCAATTAGGCTAGTTATGCTAGTTGCCTATAGTTTTGGGTTGTGGTCGGCTATATATGTGTTGATATATTATGCGGGGAGTTAAGGGCGACCTAGCCTCAGGCTAAAGGCCAATAGACTCGGGTGGACTAACATTATGCTAAAGGCCAAAGTAGCAGACTAGCTTTATGCTGAAGGCGAAAAGTGCAGACCAACCTTATGTTGAAGGCCAAGTGGCGGACCATCTTTATGATGAAGGTCATTATATGTATGCATTGTATATGTATTGTGGAATATGGTATTATTGCAGACTTATAGATGAAACGTTTTTCTTCTTCACATCTTTTTCTTTAATCTTCTTCATCAAATCTGATATCTCTGTCTCCCTTTCAACCAATTTCTTCTTCAACTTTTCTATATCTTCTTGTTTTTGATTGACGACTTTGTCTTTTAGATCCAGTTCAATCATGAAGAAAACAGATAGATGGTGTCTTTGGATCATACATCAATTCAAGAAAATATGATAAAGGGCTTGCATCAATCACACTTTTATTTATCATACTCTTTTTTTTTCCTTTTCATCAAAAACTTTTGTATCATTGTTGATCTTTCCACTTAAAAATTGTTCTCTCATCTGAGAGACATTATAAGGACCATACATATCTAATCCATTAATAGCATACCATAGATAGGTGAACATACTGTACTCTCTCCTCTCTGTTTCTGAAATATTATTCATATCTAGATGATTGTATAAGATTTCTTCTTCTTCTTTTCCTTCTGAATTTGGAGTTTCTGAAAAATGTTTGAACTTCTGAATCTTCAACAGATCATAGAACGAATGTTCTAACTTGCTCTACTATCAATTAAATGTCACAAACCCTAATATTTATGTATGAATCTTATAGAAACGCGGAATAATAACACAAGTATTTAGCAAATAAAAACTAATTTTATTTTTCGGGTTTTTCACTAAGAATGTTCTCACTAAGAGAATAAATACAATGATTCGGAAATAACAAATATTTTGAATCCTCTCGAAGAACTCACCAAGAACTCTTGGATCTCTCTATAGAAACTCTCACCCAAAATACAATAAAAATCATCAACTCTCAACTATCGAGAGAGGGTAGTATAAATACTAATCTAAACCTAGGAGAAAGAATTCAACAGATTCTCTAGATCTTCCATTATCAAATCCCTGATTTGATGGGATTGAATCTTCTAAGATAAAATCAAATCTAGTATTTAAGGAACAGATCAAATCAGATCTTCAGAATACTTCTTCACCAAGTAATTCCGATTTGCTCCAGATTCAGACATCAGCACCAACACGATATACGTTGTTCAGGGGCATCAGCGTCAGGGAGTCATCTGTTGATTAGCTTCAGCTTCAGCAGATGGTGTATAACCATCAATGTATCACGTCATCAGCATATCATATCATCAGTGTGTCATCAATGTAATAACTTCAGCATATGGACACACTAATCAGTCATTCGTACCAGCAGATCAAGTGTTCGCTGAATGATGTTCTTCGTGTTGTTAATACTTTCAGTGCCTTTGGTGCTGATAATGCCTTCAGTGTCTTTTGGTCATCATAGGATGCTCTTCAGTAGTACCAAAACTTCAACGGAGGCTTTAGAAATGTTCCAGATCTTATCAGTTAAGGCAGCTCAGATTTGGTCTTCAATCTTCAACATCTGGACTTCAGCTTTTGGTAGAGCAATAACATATATCTTCAATATCAGTCTTCAGAAACATCAACATATCTTCGGAATAACCAAATAAACAAACTCTGACATATCAGCTTGTCTAAGTTGCATTATTTACACATGTTTAGACAAGACTGACTGTCTACAATGAGCAATAAAACTATAACTATAATGTATATCTTTTACATCATCAAATCTATAAAAATATGTACCCGACATCGTGATTCTAGGATTTCACTTATTTTTTATGACATTGTTGGTAGCTTTTCGTGGATTAATTGGTTGCATAACCCGCTTTAGCTTCTTCTAATATGTAGTTGTATTTGTGTTTTCCTAGCTCCTTGCTAGTTTTTCTTAATAAAATATCGTCGTTCCAAAAAATAATGACAATCCACCAACAGTCTGAAAGAAGACCAAGTTTGGACCATTGCGAGATCACTCCCACGAAGATCTAAAAACAAACCAAACCGTTCTGAGACACTAATGTTGCAAGTCTAATGGCAACTACAAGATTGTTCAACATCATGACCATTCTCGGCCATTATCTTTTATGTGACATTTGTTATATCGAACATATGACAAACAATTCTTTCTATTATTAGTTTTGATGATTAGTAGCACTAGACAATTTTTTCTAGATTGCAACTTTTGACATGTTAAGATCATTCTTAGGCTCCTACTCTTAGCCCAATGCACAAAAAACATAGAGAAGTTGATTATTCGACCAAGAAGAGAAAAATAAGTGAAACAAGGTTTTTTTTAGAACGGTTAACTTACATACTCATTTAATCGTACTCCTAAACCTACACCTTTCATCCACCACGGGACTTGAAACCCTCAAACACTTGGGTAGGTATAGCTTTTCAAAGCTCCTGAAAGAAGTAAAAAAGTGTAAACGCCTTTTGTGTTGTCCCACAACAAACATAGAAGAGATAAATAAGTACATAAATAATCCATAGAAAAAAGAATGTGACATCCAAATTTGAACCAGAAATCTCACCACCTTACTATTGACACAACTCACATCTATAGTTATAATATTGCCAAATGAACCATTTAACCCGAGTTCATGCTAAATATGTTGTAACCAAGACTATAAGTTGTTCTTAACAAAGATTTTGATCAAATATGATTGAAAACACCTTTCTCTAAAAAGTATGCCCATCAATGACATTTTTTCGATCTATCTTTGTTTTTGTTCCCAAAATATCCCTCATTCGAAAACAGCAAGAAGATGGGTGTGGAGGTCTATACCATTAAGTACGTAATAACATATACTTATGTTTTGAACATTTGAATACATATCTAGTTACATAAAAACTTTAAAACCGTACACCTTATAAATAGTAAGTCGATGAGGAAGCATGAACCACATTTCCATTTATACTTTTCCCGCAGGATGCCACTTTATGCTACATCCAACACTTTTAACAAATAAAGAAACCACAAATACTTTTGTTAGACTACAAATATTAAATTGTATAATTAACCAGCTTAAAAGAAAAATCAAAAGAGTAAGGCACCTCGGTTTCTGATTTGGTGGTATCGGTTGACCACTAAGAACACGGTCAATTGCCAAGCTCAAGTCCCTAGCACAGGGTATTATTTATTTTAACTAAAAACGTCAGTAACACCATCTTCGATGATGACAATGAGAAGGGCATTCGTGTCTTTTTGTATGAACAAAAAAAATATGTATTTTTTGTTTTATTGAGATGTAAGGAGAAGTAGAACAAACCTCCCTGTGACAGGAACATTGTTGCTTGGCCGGGAGTCGTCAAACTGACCATGATATACTAGTTCAAAGGGTCGACGGCCATCCTGTAATGAAATGACACATTTAAATTTAAAATATTAATCAACCTACAGTTTTATTTTCTATAAATAACTAAAGAAGATACTTTTTATTATAATCTCATTTTAGTTTAATGAACTTTTATTATGTTTAATATTATATTTTTTATAAATCAAAAATTCATTAATTATAATTATAATTAAAGAATAGATTAGTATGGATATAAAAGAGCTGAGGGAGATGTACCTTTTTAAATAAGTAAAACTCCGGGGTGCAAACAGCGCCATAGTCTCTTGCAACATCTTGTGTCTGCAAAGATTATATAAAAAAATTGTTTGATCTGTTAGACATGACATGACCTGATTAGACGAAACAGGACAAAATACAAGTCGTACTATGTTTGGTGTATATGGGACTCGGACTGTCGTTTGTTGGAACAAAAATACAACTTTTTGTCCCATCCAAAAAGGTGGGACAGGGACTTGTTCAGAAAAAGACGTAAATTCCCTCAAGATCCTGATCATCAAAAATAGAAGTAAAAAACTTGTCTAGTCCTATCCCGTCCAATAAATAGACTTTTAAATAATCATATTTTGTTTTTGAAAAGAAACGTATTCTAAACTTGGAGTTGGAGTGCATAGAGGCTGAGAGAAGCTTACACGATCATAAAGGTATGGGAATGAATAATTAAAAAGTCTCGCATCCTCTGCCATGAAAATTGGTCCATCCTACAAATTTTTTAAATCAATGGTAGAGATTCGTAGAAATCATAAAATAGTGAAATTGTACTCTTTTGTATTTTATCATTTTCCAAAATCGGGTAACTCGGAAAATGTTTCTTTTAAATGGTAAAATAATATATTGATTAATCACTAGAAAAATAGTTAGTTGACTTCTGTATTTTTCTTAGTATTGATAATTTGATATTAAGAAGTAACATTATTAGAAATACTTTTAAGTTGAATCGAACCTGTGGGTGAGTAATTTCGGAGTTTGATGATATTGCAACCACTCCGAGTCCTTTCTGTAGCATAGCAGAAAACAATGATTAGTCACAAATACAAGTGACTAGAAAATAGAAAAGCTTTCAGCCTACCTTTGTATAGAAGTCTGTAAGCTTCACAATGTCCTTTTTCAAGTGCTTAACAAATGGACAATGATTGCAAATGAACATAACCTGCCAAACACATCATTTATTTTAAAGTTTTCAACTAACAATCAAATACATAAATCACACCTTTATAAAACAAAGCCAGCCACATAAAAGTTAAACCATTTGCTAACATAACTTTGGACTGAAATAAAAAAGCTTGTCCGACTATTGTCGATGAAAAAATTGATGAGGGCATTTACCAACCACAGTAAATAAATAATCTCCAGTTAGCATAAAGTATCTACGTATCCATCCTAATCCTAATCCTCCATGAAATCGTTTTGCACCATAGAAATTGCGATTTATAAATTATAACATTCCGAAAAACGAATTCCTCGTAAAAGCTGCATTTACCAGTAATGCCGGATAAGATTCGAAGTCCTCTAATGTCCACATATTCCCTGTGAGCGGCTCCTCCAGCTGAACAAGTTTATCAAGTAAACGGAAAAAGGTTTACCAAAATAGAACATGAAATTTTGATGATTAAGGCATCTAATACTCGTATGAGTGGATTAAGAAATTACAAGATAATACCTCAAAATTAGGAGCTCTGGAACCAAGAGAAACGCCCTTAGATTCGGTTCTCGCGGCACGAACTATAAGTTTTCTTGCTGCGGTCACATTCTTCCATCGCCGCCCACAGCGATACACCAGCTCCGGGGAGAGAGATAAAAGTGAGAAGGACTTCCTCCCAGATGTCGTTGCTAATGTACGCCCTAATCTCCCCACTGTTGAGCAAGGCAACAGTAAAGCATTTAATGTGGTGCCGGAAGTAGCAGACGCCATGGTTGTCCTTTCGTCTGAACTTGGACGGTCGTTCCCGTTTATCGGATCGGCTACAAAATTGTCAAATGTTAAACACCCTTTATGAATTCATGTGACGCTCAAAAAAGAAAAATAATTACTTGAAAGGGTATAATAATTTGTTATTTTGTATATACTTCTAATTGAATTTACGTTTTGTTTATATAGTTGTACATTGTGCCTTACTTATTGTACCTTTAGCTAAGTAATTTTTCTCAAAGAAAGTTACACTTCAGTTATATTTCGAGTTTAGTTAATGATTTTTTTCTTAATATATATTATACAATTACTAATATATATTTGTTTTCAAAATACCATTGCTACTTGATGCGTATTTGAACCTCAAACACAACTCCTACAGCGGAATAAAATAACTCTTGAATCAAACGACAATAAAAAGTAATAAAAAAATATACATTTGAAGCCCAAACTAGACTTATAGTTTGAATCTTCGGTGAAAACAAACCAAAACTTATTGGTTTGATTTCAAGATCAAAATTAGGAGGCGCGTCCCAACAAAGATCATATTTGAATCGTACGCAACAATTCGAATGAACATAAGTTCAAAGTTTTATATATTCGATCAACGGCTTACAAATGACTACCCAAATGGCTATATATAGCCTTACAAAGAATCGGATAAAAGAAATTCAAAAGACAACTAAATAACTATGTCAATCAATGGCTTTATTAAAAACATTAAAGATTTATTTAAAAAGAAATAAAGAAAACGGCTTCAACCATGGTTGTTCAGCTTCCGAGGTGTGACCCTTTCCTGAGGTGACTATTAGACTTCCGAGGCCTCGCATTCGCATCCTAACTCCCCGGACTGCCTATCCCAACGAAACCTCTCGCAACCAAGCTTCTTTTCACATCCAATTATACCCTTCATATCCAAGCTTCCGTTCGCACTCAATCCTCCGTTTGTATTCCAGTCACCATGCGTTCGCATTCAACTCTCCTTCGCAATGAACGACATCGCAATGAAGTGAAAATGATTGTGATCGGTTGCGATCGATCGCATCCAGTCGCAATTAATCGCAACCATCAGCAGAGAAAATCGGTTCGCAACCCTCAGTAGTCCAAATTGGATCGCATTCAGTAGACAAAACCGGATCGCCTTCCATACACGGATCGAACCTGAAGTGACTTTCGCATCCACCTCCCAGTTTCGCATCAAACCCTTCCTCTTCAAAAGGAATTGACCTCAATTCCGGAAGGCCCTTATAATTTCTGGGAAATTTGATCTTGAAAGCACATTCAGCATGAACCAACTGCACATCCCAATCTGTTTGTGGTTTGTCCATCAGCCTTCCCAACGAAGTGATAACCAATAATTTAGTCCCCCTTTCTCCATAAAGCATTCCAGAAATACTTTAAGAATTTAGAATCATGAACTGAAACAATCGCCTTGGGAACTCTATTCAAACGCACCATCTTCACGATCATCTTGAACCAAAAGAAATGTTCTTTCAAGATTTCCAAATGCTTCATTATACTAAAGTTGTCAGCTAAACCACTTGTAACGCCCGTAGATCCGGGCTAGTCAATTTAGAGACAATAAGCATCAAAAATGAGTTTTTGATGGAAGATTATTTAGAAGTATTAATCCTTTCCAAGTGGTAGTATATGTCTCAAGGGTTCCGTACATATAAAGAACGCCGAAATCCGAGTTATAACGAAGAAGTTATGACCCGTCGAAGTTTCGCGACGGAACCGGCACGACACCAGGAAACGTAAATAGTGAATTTACGATAGAGCGACTTTTAGCCTTAGCGACCTAAACGAAATTTATAGAATATGTTAAACCGAGAGCGTCCATAAAAAGAACACCCAAATCTCGTCGAGTGGGATTACAAGAGTCTCGTCGGATAGGAACTTTTTCAAGTTCGAGACGTGGAAGGTAGGATGTACGTTACTAAGCTCGTGGGGTAGGTTGAGTTTGTAAGCTACAGGGCCGATTCTGGCGAGAATCTCGAAAGGCCCTATGTATCTTGGATTTAGCTTTCCACGCTTTCCGAAGCGTATCAAGCCCTTCCAGGGTGAGACTTTCAAGAGGACTCGGTCTCCCACCTGGAATTCCAAAGCTTTCCTTCGGTTGTCTGCGTAGCTTTTCTGTCGGTCTCTAGAGGCTTTCAATCGTTCACGAATCTGAACGATCTTCTCTGTCGTTTCCCGAATGATCTCCGGACCTGTGAGAGTGCTGTCAGGAATTCGTCCTTTAGCTAACTGTGTGTCACCCACCTCAGCCCAGCACAGAGGGGATCTGCACTTCCGGCCATAGAGGGCTTCAAATGGAGCAGCCTTTATGCTCGTGTGATAACTGTTGTTGTAGGAAAATTCGACAAGGGGTAAATGAGTATCCCATGCCTTTCCAAATTCGATCACACAGGCTCGCAACATATCTTCCAAGGTTTGGATAGTTCTCTCACTTTGTCCGTCGGTCTGTGGATGGTAGGTTGTACTCATGCCTAGCCTCGTTCCTAAGGAGCTTTGTAGCGACTGCCAGAGTCTCGAAGTGAATCTACTATCTCTGTCGGAGATAATGGATATAGGAACCCCATGCAGTCGTACTATCTCCCGAATGTATGTTCTTGTGAGCTTCTCCATCTTGTCAGTTTCCTTGATGGGCAGGAAGTGTGTGAACTTGGTCAATCTGTCGACGATGATCCAAATGGTATCAAGTCCACCCGTTGTCTTGGGTAACTTGGTTATGATGTCCATAGTGATCCGCTCCCACTTCCATTCAGGTATCTCCGGTTGCTGAAGTAGACCTGATGGTTTCTGGTATTCGACCTTGACATTTGCGCAAGTAAGGCATTTACTTACGAAGGTAGCAATCTCCGCTTTCATGTTAGGCCACCAGTATAACTTTTTAAGATCCAGATACATCTTATCCGAACCTGGGTGGACGGAATAACGAGTGTTGTGCGCTTCGGTCATGACCAAGTCTCTGAAGCCACCGTGTCTCGGTGTCCAGATCTGGTCCATGAGATACAAAGCTCCGCCACCCTTGACTTCTAAGTTCTTATCCATTCCTCGCAGGGATTCACCCGTCACATTTTCAGGTTTCAAGGCTTCGAGCTGAGCCTCCTTAATTTGTGTGGATAGGTGCGAATGGATAGTCATAGTCAATGATTTGACTCTTCGAACAGAATATTCTTTCCGACTTAGGGCGTCTGCTACTACGTTGGCTTTACCCGGATGATAACGAATTTCGCATTCGTAGTCATTGAGTAGTTCGACCCACCGTCGTTGTCTCATATTGAGCTCCTTCTGGTTGAATATGTGTTGTAGACTCTTGTGGTCTGTAAAGATAGTACTCTTCGTACCATACAGGTAGTGTCTCCAGTTTTTCAAAGCAAACACAACTGCTCCTAATTCGAGATCGTGTGTGGTGTAGTTGACCTCGTCTGTTTTCAGCTGCCTTGAGGCATAGACGATGACCTTACCTCGTTGCATCAGAACACAGCCGAGCCCTTGATTTGACGCATCGCAGTATACCACAAAGTCTTCTGTCCCTTCGTGGAGGGACAGTATCGGTGCGGTACATAAGGCTCGTTTTAGCGTTTGGAACGCTTTCTCCTGCTTCTCTTCCCTGTCAAAGGTCACACCCTTCTGGGTCAGTGTTGTAAGTAGTTTCGCAATCCGCGAGAAGTTTTGAATGAACCTGCGATAGTAGCCAACGAGGCCTAGAAATTGACGAATTTATGTAGGCGTCTTCGGTGCTGACCAGTTCTCAATAGCTTTAATTTTGGATGGGTCCACGTGGATTTCTTCTTCGCTAACCACGTGTCCTAAGAATTCGACTCTTCGGATCCAAAATTCGCATTTAGAGAACTATGCGTAGAGCTTCTCCGTTCGTAGGGTTCCTAGGACTTATCGTAGATGATCATTATGCTCCTCCTTACTTCGAGAGTAGATAAGTATATCATCGATGAAGACGATGACGAACTGATCCAAGTAAGGGCGGCATACCCTATTCATTAAGTCTATGAACACTGCGGGCGCGTTGGTCAATCCGATTGGTATCACCAAGAACTCGTAGTGTCCGTAACGAGTTCGGAAGGCTGTCTTCGGGACATCCTCCTCCAATACTCGTAACTGGTGATACTCGGATCTCAGATCAATCTTTAAAAAGTAGCTCGCCCCTTGTAGTTGATCGAATAAATCGTCTATGCGAGGTAGAGGGTAACGATTTTTGACCGTAAGCTTGTTGAGTTCTCTATAGTCGATGCACATACGGAACGATCCGTCTTTCGTCTTCACGAATAAGACTGGTGCTCCCCATGGTGAGAAACTTGGTCTAATAAAGCCCTTGCTGGGCAATTCGTTAAGTTGACCGGATAGCTCCTGCATCTCAGCTGGTGCTAGACGATAGGGGTATTTGGCTACGGGGGTAGCTCCTAGCACTAATTCGATTCGGAACTCGACTTGACGTCGCAGGGGCAATCCTAGGAGTTCTTCCAGAAAGATGTCAGGAAAATCGCGTACTACGGGGAGGTCTTTTAGGTCTTTGGTTTTCTGTTTCACATCGACTATGTGTGCAAGAAATGCTTGATATTCCTTATGCAAGTACTTTTAGGCTTGAATATTTGAGACGATATGAAGGCTCGTACTGGGTTTGTCTCCGTAGATCAACAAAGTTTCGTTATTCGGTAGGTTTAGGCGGACTGCCTTCTCGAAACACAGAATATCAGTACGATGGTGACTCAACCAGTCCATGCCCACAATGACATCGAAACTCTTGATTGCTACTAGTATGAGGTCGATTGGAAATGAATGATTATCCAGCGTGAGGGTACAACCTATGTAAATCTCTTTAGAACTCTCTGTCTTTCCGTTGGCCATTTCTACGACGAAGGTTTCTTTTAGTTCTTGTGGTGTTTGATTAAGTAAGCGTTTGAATTTTTGGTTCACGAAGCTCCTCTTAGCCCCACTATCAAATAGGATACATGCATATGAGTTATCGAGAAGGAACGTACCCGTGACTACTGTGGGGTCTGTCACGGCTTCATTGTGGCCAATAGCAAGTAGTCTCCCTGCTCCTCCCGCATTCCCAGCTTTCGGACAGCT